GAGAGGACATGAGGACTTGAAGTTGCATGATTAGACATTATTATTTTTTTTTTAAAAAAACCTTGGCTGGGCATTGTACATAGCCACCCGAAATACCCGGACTATGCTGGCAGACTGCATGGGATCAGCTATATTTACACAGACTGAAGCCCTTACAAAATGATATCATATTTGCATCGCTTAAACAAAATTTATTTAAAAAGGAAAGGGGATGTGTCGACAGCCATAGAAGTGTAAAGGACTATATGAAAAACTCTACAGTACACAAAATGATCAGAAATGTAACATGTAACCGAAGTTTGTAACAGAATACATCTTGCCTTGCCGGCATTCATTGGAAATATCAAGGTAGGTTTTAACATGAACATGTAAAATAACATCAATATTATTTCTAATAATACATTGGGTCGTTGTTGAGAATATTGTGGTTCTCATTACTTAACCATTCGGGTGACTCCAATATTTTTTGTGTGTGTGACTGATAATTGCATTGCACATTTTTAAGTACCACAAATGGTGAGGCATTAATACATTCTAACACCCCTCTGGTACTTTGCCTCGTCTCTGGAATAAACAAATCAAAGCAAAGCTTGTGTAATTGGCAACGATGTAGTCACCCTAACAGACGGGCATGAAGCTTTGATGATAATACCCCAATTACTTCATGACATACATGATGATGAATGAGCGACCACAGTGTGACTTTGTTGTCTATGTGTATGCTTTATAGCACCTGGTCATGTTTAACAGTAGGTTATTGATGCATAAGCGTTTGTCCAGAAGCGATATTTTAAATACGAATTTTACAAGGATTGGCATTTTCTTTTCATTTATAATTCATTTTCATTTGCATGTGTTCAAAATTCATTAATCAAGATTCACAAATGTCATAATGGGATCCACAAATGCAAACAAAATAATTTGTGATATAGTATATAGAATATGACACTATAAATGTGCATATGGTTTATTTTTTAAATAAGTGCATTTACAAGCAAAAATAATTTGACAAGTGTCGTGACATTGCTGAATGGTTGTCTGGCCAATCAGGGGCTGGTGTTGGGGTGTCTGCAGTGTGTTATCAGGCACCCTATAATTTGTCTTGCAAATTAATATTAAAATGCCAGCCTTTGACGTGGGTAGTTGAAACCTTAGTTCACCATCGTTAACTTCACTTACTTGTCTGTGAAATGGTCCCAATAATCCTCTTTTGTTTTACCAATCAACATGTTTCATTGGTTTGCCTACATGAAACAATAGAAGCAGACATTCCGGGAAGTCCCCACAATAGAATTACATTTTCCTTGAGGATATGAGACATTCTTGAAATATGTTTTTACAAAAATGCTTTTCGCAAAAGAGTGATCTTGGTTTTCTTTTTACATTGTTTCTGACACATGTTCTCTGGATAGAGCAGTTATTAAGTTTGAGCTTGAGCATATGTTCAGGAAAGTAAGTGGTTTAAACTTATTTTTATTTCAACTGAAAATTGGGATCAGTAAACAAGTTAGCTCTTATTTGAATACCTCTCCCTACATGGAAATCAGGTAAAAAGATAGTCAAGGTGTATACACACATAATATTTACACAAGAAATACCTTGGTGGTCAGTTAATTATCAAGCATGATCAGCAGTGTCCGGTTTTGATAGTCAGAATAATGGGGTTATACATAATATTAAGTACCACATAATGTACACAATATACATATATATTATATGTGAGGGTTTGGTGTATTATTTATGTTTAAATCTACCAGAATTTGTGATGAAAGTATGGACAGATAGATGAAGTTCTTGATTCGAATCAGATGATAGGCCTTCACATCTGTAAAGTTCTGTATTAATATTATATCCTTTTATGTAATATAATAAATTGTTTCTAATTTGATCATAATTGCAACAAACAAAGAAGTTGTGTAGCGGGTCTTCATAGTGGTGACCACAGGAACAACCTGGGCTGTCAGTTATGAATCTATCGAATTTACAATGTTGATAATAAAAGCGACAAAATCCTTTCCATATTTATAAGAACTCTGTGCTAAAAGCAGAGTCAATTGTACGATTCCGACTGTATCGTGAGCATGTGTTTATAAATGACTATAAAATAGTGATGGTACAGGGAATTGGCGAAAAGGCAATACCATGAAAACGGAAAATAATACAACACAATCGTCTTGCCACCTTTAATTCCAGAAAATACCACTGTATGTCTTTGACTTGCCTTTGCATATGTATATAATAAATCTGTATACTTTCTGCGTTGCTATTTGTATTTCTTGTAGTATACGTTTTGCAGATGCATTTTCTCCAGTTGTTTAAGACACAGATCCTCATAGAGATACTATATCGTTTTCTTCTAGATAGCCAAATACATACATATCGTCTACAAATGTTGGCAGGCCCTCCAAAGGTTCTAGATGTGTTCTACCCAGATTTCCTTCCAAATAGTCTACCTTGGATATATCTGGTAGCAAGTTGTCTTCGTATGCATTCTCCACTAGTATGTGTTGGAACACAGACATTTCTGCACGTATGCCCATCCTCTCCATAGTTGTATATTTCGCTTCTTCCATTTTTGTTCTATACTGTAGTTGGGCACAAATGTTCAATTGGAAATTCTTTGGACACAGTTGTATACTTTGGACACATCCTATTGCTCTAGTGGAAAAATATTGTAGGGGGGTGCCGAAATCGGGGGTGCCAAACAAGAAAAAGACGCCCTCTTGAGTCTCGTCATCGTTTTTGTACTAAAAATTCCCTCTATGGTATCATTGATTGACTCCAGGTAGTGGTGAGCTAGAGCCAATTTAACTTAATCTCATGACGATCGTTGAATTGCATCAGCGTTTACACATAAAAAATTCCCCCTGTAGTGGTGGTATAGGTATATAAATCTGGCTCCATTGGAAGTGGTCCAGATCCCCCATCATCTATACTACTAATATAGATATCAGTATTTGTAAAAATAAGAAGACTGACACTATTACCTTAAATAATGCAGACTAGCATGCTAGGAAAATATAACTCAAGAATCCTAAATCAGTGAACAGAAAAAAGTAATACAGCATGTTGTGCCACAAATGTAGCACAACTGTCACCTGATAGCCTGACTATTTTGCCCCGAAAAAGTGGCATGATAGTGGCTCAAAAGTGGCGCAATCTTGCAAAATGTTATTGCGAAAACGTCGCAAAAGTGGCGCAATGGTTTCAGGTTAATGCCTCAAAAGTGGCGAGTTAATTCCGCATTAGTGCCGCAATAGTGTCAGGAAAGTTTCACGGAATTTTCACAAAAATAGGGGCAGTAACTTTTGAAATTGGTCTAGTTGCAAGTAAAGAAACTGGTAAGGCCGAGTTGCAGGTCAAGACACTGGTAAGATCTAGTTGCAGGTCAAGAAATTGGTAATTAAAAGGTCTAGTTGTAGGTCAAGAAACTGGTAAGGCCTAGTTGCAGGTCAAGAAACTGGTAATTAAAAGGTCTAGTTGTAGGTCAAGAAACTGGTAAGGCCTAGTTGCAGGTCAAGAAACTGGTAATTAAAAGGCCTAGTTTCAGGTCAAGAAACTGGTAATTAAAATGTCTAGTTGTAGGTCAAGAAATGTGTAAGGTCTAGTTGTAGGTCAAGAAACTGGTAATTAAAAGGTCTAGTTGTAGGTCAAGAAACTGTTAAGGACTAATTGCAAGTCAGGATAGCTTTAGGTATGAAATATACATTGGGTTTGGGATCATATATTAGCTTGAATATCATCAGTCAGAAGTCAGGGCGTCAGCTTCTGGAATGAAGACATAAAGAAGATCTGAAGACTGGGTTGAGTTACATCTGAGGTGCTGTTGGTTGAGTCTCAATCAGTTAAACATCACTATAACTATCAGAATAACCAGTTGATGTGTTATTCTGCTTCATCTATGTCTCCACAGAGGTCTACTGCATCTGGGTTGTTGGTGGCTGTGAAGGTTGTGTCTCGATCAGTAAAACATCACTGTCAATCTTGGACAGAGTAATCAACTGCAGCATCAATGTTTTACTCTGCTTCCTCAATTTGTTCACACCTCGAGTCAATGCAACCCATGATATCTCGGCACATGGAACAGGCAAGATGGGGGTCCTTGGTGGACTTGTAGAAATGACAGACCCAACACTTCTTATCATGCCTTGGTCTTGAAGCCATACTTGTGCACAATTGAAATAAACAAAATGGTATTTTGACTATTGTGTAAAAGTGAAAAATTTATGTATAGAAACTAAATGAACTTAAAGCATAAACTGTAAATATTGTGAGCCTTTTGGAAAACAAATCTGGTCATGTTAGCACAAGTTAAAATAATGCTGGTTCAAGGTGGAGTCTGCAGTTTCCTGTGCATGTGATAAAGGAGGAAACTCATACAAACTCATGTGCCAAACTCAAAAACATTAATTCTTGTGGAGTCTTCCAAACATGGAGAATAAGGCTATTGTAGTCTTAAACGTGGAGTTTAAACTAAAATGATATATTTTCACAAACCAATTACTTCAAAGCTCAATTTTCAATTAATTACTCATATCTTAGATGTAGTAAGTATGATTTCATGTGAGAATGACTTACAGAGAAGGTTAATGTGGTTTCTTTCTTGTATCTCAAATGGTATATGATCTTATCTTACAATAAGTATACTGATAAGGGATGAGGGACTATTGCTATGATCAATTGTGGGTTATCTCTTGTAAGAATCACTTACTGTCAAGAGATTAAAGACTGATGCAAATACTGGCCAGGGTAAGTAGAAGATGATCTCATGGTAGAAGCATACAAATCATTCCTATACCTGTATACCATAACATGCTCCTTATTAAACACTAAACTAACTGGGGACAAGCCCATTTTTAATTCATGGGGGTGCAATATCGTAAGTGTACACAGGCACACCTGATTACCTTTCTGTAGGCAAAAGAAGATGTAGGCGAAAGTGGATGGAACCTTCACATGGACATCTGAATGAATGACAAAATGTCTATGAATGCACCAACCTTCTTCTGCAGTAGCTTGGCTATAGTGAGATGTGCAGGAACATGGTCTGGCTTGGACTTGAGAGCCTTTCGATACCAGCGTTCTGCTGTCACCAGGTCGCCCATCTTGCTGTATACCTCACCTGGAAACATATAAACATATAAACACATAAACAGAAACATCCCAGTCATGAACACCCTCCAAACAGCTTGTCTCCATTACCTTCCACTTTCAGAAGTAAATTTCCATGTTATGTCCTAACAAAGAATAAGGGTCATGCTGACCCTCAGTTTTCCAACATGACATGGTGAAGATTACTTGGACAGCCTTGAGACTGTATGGTAGACAGGAAGATGTCCAACTCTCAAAAAGATAGTCTTGGAAGGCTCAAATTGACAAGACACAAGTTCAATTAAATATAAAGAAAGCATTAATTTGAAGACCCTTCAAACCAATTTTCTTCTAAGATACTGAAATACAGAAAATAGTTATCATTCTGTATAATTCAAGGAATTCTACCGCTACTCCATCATCTATTTAATATCTGTCTTGAGGGAAACAGTATCTACAGTCTAAGTGCTTCTGAGCATGCATGAGGAGGGATAACCTCACTCCTTTCTGTGAACCAACATCCTCTAGATGCTGATAAAATGGGAAGGTGAGGCAATAATCCTGATGTAATAGAGGTAGTATTCTTAGAATTATACACAATGATAACTGTTGTTTGAAAATTCCTTCGAACACTTCACCTCACCTCTATTACATCATAGCCAGAATTCACCAGATGGAAAGGAGTGATATGGCATCTAGTAATCTGGGATAGTTTACAGCAGTAAAGAATAAGTACATGGAAAAGGCATAATACCTTTAATTTCTTGAAATCTGTAATATCAAACAATAGTTATCATTGTTAATAATTCTAAGAATACTACCTCTATTACATCTTTGCCATAAATCCTGTATTTTGGCTTTGGTCACAGTAACTAAAATTTTCAGATTTTCAACAGACGTCCTCTTCACTGTCCATCACACACAATTAGTTGTTCCCAATATAGCACCATAGCAACCCAAGCTATGACATGCGTAATGGTGTGAATCTCAATTCTTTCTTGTGTGTGCTAGAGTCAGCACCTATTGTTATAGCACTTGGTAGTAGTTGCATTAGTCTAAGATTGTTCTGATAGTTTTCTATAAAACAGACCCATTAAGTCAATATTAATAGCTGCTAATTGTAGTGACGATCATACTCACGTAAGTATAAGCTGGCGGGAATGTCAATTCTTTCCCACTTCTTACCACTAGAGGTAGAGGAATTGGGGAGGTGGATGGGAGTACTCTTGATGTAATAGAGGTAGTATTCTTAGAATTATTAACAATGATAACTATTGTTCGTTAATTCTTGCGAATCCTCTACCTCTATTACATCTTTGCCAGAATATACCACAGGGACCAGGCGGGATCTGCCTCTAGTAACTCTCTGTAATCCTCTTCTGGAAACCATTTAATCAAGGATTCTAATCCTGACCCAAGATAATACAGTCAAATACATGATAACTTCGCTAGAATTACCGTTATATTTGCTGATCTTGTTAGCAATAATCACGTAATTTCTGGTCTTTTTCTCCCAAATGACGTCATTTTCTGTTAAAATGGACTTCTGACACTATTTCCGGTGCTGACGTCACTTCCGGTTCTCATTTCCGGTTTGTCACTTCCCTTTTATTGGATAATGATGTCTCTTATGGTCTATTTCTACTTAAAGACGTCATTTCCTGATTAGATGGACCTTGTTTCGAGACAGGATAACCAAGGACCTTCCCACTGAACGGATGTCCATGAAGCAAGACTCATGGCTAGGGCTCTGATCTCATGAGCCGAGGAGGATCCAAGACGGGGAGTGGAATTCTGTGCCTGTGTATAACTCGCTGCAACGGTAGACTTAAGCCAGCCTGTTACCGTAGCCTTGGTGATGTCCTTGTTGGAAAAGAGGCTTGCAGGATATGAAAAGTCTCCTTCAATGGTGTCTATGTAGGTCTGTAGCCGAGAGGTAGAATTTGAGAGCTCTGATGAGATAGAGAAGTCTGTCTGGGTGATACACTGTCGGCCCAAGACAGGAATGGTAAGTGTCTATGGCCCCTACCATGGTGGTAGACTGGTTTTAGCTACAAAAAGTGGCAGTGATCTTAGAGTAATTGAGGCCCGATGTTGATCATAGATTGTGGGTTACTGGCGATGTATGAAGAAGCTGAGAGCAATTGAGGCCCAATGTTGATCATAGATTGCGGGTTACTGGCGATGATGTATGAAGAAGCTGAGAGTGAAGCTGAAGAAGAAGATCGACCCTCAGAGGTAGATGGTAAAATCTTCTGCCTGCGACATTGTTAAGTGTTGTTAACCAACTTCGTGTTGGCCAATTGGGTGCGACCAAAATAAGTGTGAGGCTGACTGTATCTTCTGTAGAACCTGATGTATAATGCCGGTTGTGGATAGGCGTAAGCGTGTAGTCTCTCCCATGGGATTGCTGATGCATCGTAGTCCCTTTGGCGTATTTCAGTGAATTCCCACTTTTCATTACAACCATTCAGTTGAGTTTGCCTGTGCAGCCTTTGGGAGACACCCTGGAATGAGCACATGGCTGAATAAACTTAGTCAGATGAGCTCTCCTGTTGAGTCTTAATTACCAATACATGACATGGTCTCAGAAGTGGTAACACTAGTGTAAGAAGCTAGAACAGAGACCAAGCAGGTACATAAATGTTGAAATGGAGGGAGCTGCATGGAATTAAGTCATTCAAAACACATGCACAGTTCATGTTTAATGGGCCTCTGAAGAAGGAAACAGGAAGAAAGCTGCAATTACCTTATGATATGGATAGGAGAAAAGGGAAGAATGTTATTCTCGACATGGGATTTAACTGAAGAAGAGGCAAAGTTGTTGAAAACTTACTACGACAGGTTCGAAGCATATGTGCTACCCAAAACAAACCACGTGTTTTCAAGGTACAAGTTTGGTTGCAAAGTACAAGAAGAAGGGTAAACTTGTGAACAGTTTGTCACACAGCTCAAACTTTTAGTTAAAGATTGTGGCTATGACAATCCTGACGAAATGGTGCGAGACAGAATTGTGTTTGGCCCTGACACAACAAAGTACGAGAAGAGCTTATCAGTAAAGGATCAGACCTTACCCTGGATAAGGCAGTTAACATCATCAGAACATACGAAACAACTATGGCACAACTTAAATCCATGACGACAGAAACCATGTAGATGTAGATGTAATTTCCAGACAAGGAAGACAAGGAGGGCCAGATACCCTTAGTGGACAGCATGAGAGGTAGAGGTAGGGGATATTTAGAGCTGTGAAAAAGAGACCGAGAGGAAATGTGCGGCAACTACCGAAACCAAAAGTGCCCGGCTGAGTGCAGGAAGTGCAACAAATGTGGCCGATTCAATCACTTTTCGTCTGTATGCCACTCACAACCACCATTTCGCAGCAGTTCTCAGCGCCAAACTGTAAACCAACTAGACCTGAAGGAAGATCCCCACAACTATGTGTATTATGACTGTGATGGAGATGACTTCTTCATCGGAATGTTAAATATACATGGTCTGGACGAGGAATCTGTGAACTGGACCACAGAGACAACAATTAATGGAAACACTGTAACATTTCAGATTGACACAGGGGCCAAGTGTAATGTGTTACCATTGGAAACTGTTAGGAAGATAACAGCAGGGCCACTGAAAAAATCATCAACTCCCTTGAAATCTTATTCTGGACATGTCATTCCACTTGAAGGAACAGTAACATTGCCTTGTGTGGTAAAGGGAGTTGAACATCACGTCCTGTTCCATGTTGTAGATATGACAGCCACGCCTGTTTTTGGTGCGCAGACAAGTAGTGAGATAGGTCTGGTCCAGCTCTTAAATCAAATTTCAGAATCTTTGGCATAGAAGAAGAGTATACAGATTTGTTTGAGGGACTAAGATGCCTGCCTGGAAAACACAGCATTCAGATTGACAAAACGTACCATCCCGTCGTCCATCCACCAAGAAAGGTCCCATATGCCTTACAAGAGAGAATTCAAGACAAATTAGACAGAATGGAGAAGGCAGAAGTTATTGTGAAGCAAACAGAACACACTGAGTGGGTTAACAGTATGATTACGGTCATAAAGCCCAACAAAATCCGGATATGCATTGATCCAGTTGATCTCAACCGAGCAATAAAGAGAGACCAAGAGCTCCAGATAAGCTTTTGGTGTTGTGGGTATTTTACCGATGCATTTTAAAATCATTGGGTATCAGTAATTCTATCTGGGTATTCAAATTTCTGTTACCCATTAGTTTTTACAGATGTGGGTATTTAAGTTAAATATTTAAAAACACTATTCATCTAGTCCCTGCAAACTGGTGTCGTGTTGGTTCGAGAGCTTTATAGGACTCAAAAATACCACGATACTTCCACAAGAAAGTGAGATGGCAAATGATCATGATGTAACTGTCATCGTGGAGTTTGGCAAGGTTGACGGAATGCCTGTTTATAATTTCAAAATAAGTTGCTGATTTGCTAATCAAATACGCAGGGTTACTTCACAATATTTTGATGATACGCACTATATTTTTGTAGCATATCTGTAATGTTCGTTGCGTATTTGATACGCTTGGATTTTATTTTACTGCATATTTCTGCATTTCTGATCTGTATTTTACACAGATACGCAGCTATTCTGGAGCTCTGGAGACCACTTAAGACAATTGAAGAAGTTGTAGCACAATTGCCAGATGCAAAAGTCTTTACCAAGCTTGATGCCACGTCAGGAATTTGGTAGATACAGCTTGATGAAGATAGCTCAAAGTTTTACACATTCAATTCACCATATGGAAGATTTTACAAGGCTTCCATTCAGGGTAAAGTCTGCTCCTGAAGTATTTCAGAAAATTATGAGCCAGATGGTGGAAGATATCAAAGGTGCAGAACCTATTATGGACGACATCTTGATCTGGGGAACAAACACACAGGAACATGATGATCGGCTGAAGCAAGTACTAGACAAGGCCAGACCGTACAACCTTAGACTGAGCAAGTCCAAGTAAGAATTCTGCAAAGAACAAGTAACATATGTTGGACATCTGCTTACC